GGGGGGAGAGGTGTCTTCTGGAAAGTTTACAAATCCCTGCCAGTGGCAGAGAATGCACTTTTCTAATGATCTTTGGAAATACGATGCCCACCACCCCAAGAGCCAGGTGATCTCTTCCTACCCAAAAAGTAACCAGCGACATGATCTTCTGCAATATGACTAGGCTTCACAGGCAATAAGCTACACAGCATGGATACAAGGTATGGGCTCTTGAAAATGAGAAGCAGGTACAAGAGCTCACAGAGTCTGTGTATACCATATTGTATAGCATTCTGGGCAAAACACTGTAAAACCACAGAGTAACAATGTGTACTTCCATTTTCAGAGGCACTGGCAGACCTGGGCTTTTTGTAGGCTTCCACTGTTCTGTTCCGCAATCCATCATGACGTTTACATTAATTTTCGAGCAAGCAGATTTTTATTCTCTAGCTACATGCTATTCAGGGATTAATACATTCTAGATAGAATGATTAACAGATTATGCATTATTTTATTATAGGCAACAGTCTTCAACAGTGCAAATTGCTACAAAATGACCAAGAGCAAACATTAAATTATTTTCACGGAAAAGATTTTGTTACCATTGAACTTAAGTATTTAAGAACAGATACAAGGTACTGTCACAATGTATGACTCACCAGGTTTCTTCCCTAAGCTTCCTGTTTTTCCAGCTGCTCCAGGAGCCTGGAAACAGAAAGCAAGATGTAAATTTAGCACTTGTGTTTATTTCTCAGTATATGAAAATTATTTACTATGATGCACTTTAGCACACTAAACAAGCATGTAAGTAAAAAAAACCCCAACCTCTTACAGGAAGATTCTATTCTTACAGAAACCATTAGTAATTTAGATGGCAATTAATATATAGGAATAAATAGCAAGCAGTGTATGGAAGCAGATGACTATATAAATGTGTAGACTTCTTTCCTGAACTTTTCTTCCTTTCATGGACTGCAAATACCAACGTAATTCCAAGTTACACAACATTTGAACTGTAAATCTGCATATCTACAGAATGTGAATTTTGTTGAGTTAAAAAAATAGTAGTTTTCAGCTCTACAAATAGTTGGATTGGAAATATGCCTAAAACACTAACTGGGCATAATTATTTCATACTGTCCATATTATGGTTCTAAAATTTCTCATATGGCACATTAGCATAGTCCGTGTAGTCACTGCATCTTTAAGACGAGTCATCTGAACTGTGTAGGTAGTGTGTGCTGCAGTAGCAAAAGCCTCACCGCCGTTTTTGTGCCCAAGTGAGAGCAAAGGACACTGCATAGCAAGGTGCTATCTATCTGTAGTTATTTCCTCTGAACCTAGATGGGGTGAGATGAGGGATGAACATCATCATCATCATCCAGGCCAAGATATTTGCAAGAAAAGCCTTTGAATAGCCACAAGAAATCCCACAAGCAGTGAAATTAGTTCAGTTCAGTTATGTATGGGAAAACAGCGATACTGCAAGATGAAATTTAACATTAAAAGCTTTCATAATTCACAAACTGAAAGCTCTCTTTCTGAAAAAAAAATAAATCCCTTGAGACCACTAGTTACTTGGGAAGACTTATCTTTATTTATTTTAATGCACTTAAAGCTCTACTGATATACATGCAATTAGAGTATACAAAATAGTGTGTGATCTCAACTCTGCCCCTTGCACGCCTCCCTTCCTCAGTCATCTTCCAACCCTTTTAGTCACCATCCCTGTCCAGGACAGCTTCCCCCTGCCCCCTAAATAATTACTTCAATTTCCTCACAGTACATTGCCAGTCTTATCTTCTGCAATAAAAAGGTTTGATATGGATAACAACAACATAACAAATCTAAACTGTACTTTGGTCAGAAATGTTGAATAGCCATAAATATCCTCTTCCCTTCAAGCAAGGCTCACAACACTTCCAAATCCCACCTTAACTTCTCCTTTAGGATCCTCCTTACAAACTTGGAGCCTACATCAAATGACGTGAAGGTTTTCACAGAATCCTAACTCCTCGATGGAAAAGAACAGTTTCATCCTCAATATTCATATTATCTTGATTCTTTGAAAACTTGGGGATTCTTGCAGAAACTAATATAAGGAATAGCTAAAAAAAAGTTAAATGACGGAGAGAACAGGGCTATTTAAAAAATGCATATTGGTTTTTGAATGCCTCTATAAAAATACATTATTACATAGATCTTCAATCTGTTGAAGATTACATAGCTCCTCTAAGACATCCATGTTTTGAGCATCTTTCAGAAAAGCTACTAAAGAAGCCTGATCTTTCAGACTGAACTGTAGCACCTCACAACTCTGTATTCGTCGAGCCAACCCCATCAAATAACAGCAGAAAACCCAGCAGAGTTGGCATTGCCTACCTCACAAGCTGTAACTGGCATTAGAAGGTAACAGAGGGTATGGGAAGAAATTTTTGGTTGGTTGGTTGGTTTTTTTTAAGTTTGGCACCAAAGCACCTTACGTACATATAATGTACCACGCTTCTCCTTGACATTTTGCAACTTAAATTTTGGGAAGGATTGTGGAAAGTGGATGCTTTAAGTTAAGTGATACTTGGATACCACTGTCTCAGTGCTATTTTCTTGTCATTGTAAAAGACTCATTATAGTTAATTTCTACAAGACCAGGAAATCTTCCTTTCTCCCCCATGTTCCCTTCTTTCTCTTCAGTTCCCCACCTTTCTCTATAACCACTGTGCTCTATATTAACAAAAAAAAGTGAAACAGGAAAGCATCATGCAGAGATCAAATACAAAGACTAAGTTTAGGTCTGAGGACAAGGAGAAGATGGTCCAGACAAAGTGACTGTGCATCTATCAACAGTCCCAAGTAGCAAAATTAAAAGGTGTGGAACCAAAGGTGACAGCTGGCACTGATATGGTAATATCAGGAATTAATTCTGCTTTGGCAAGTGTTTCTGGCAGAGAAACGCCCTTCCCCCTCCTCAATAAAGAACAAGTGTTTGGACCTTCAGAGAACACACTCCTTCAAAATACCACTTAGTCAATATCCACATTGCCCAACTAGGAGCACATGGACAGATAAAACAGGCTGTGACACTGCATCTTTACAGTTAAGTGGTAAACATATAGAGATTATTTTAAGAGAGAAGCTTCAAAATCACCTTGAAGACTGAGCTTGAATTCTATTTGAAGATTCTCTGAATCCTTGGTAAAAAAGCAGAAGAAATACATAGGGAAGTCCTGCAGTACTTCAATAAATAACTAAATTAATAAATAATACATTTAAGATTGACCCAACTTCTGGCCCACTCAGTACATGGAGAAGTATTTTCTATTCTTTCTGTTGAGAAAGAATGGAGAAGACATATCCTATTCTACTTTTGCACACCTGAGACACTAACTGCATTTGAGCGTATTTTGTGACAAGTAATGAAGTCTCTTGAAACAGTAGAGCAGAACTTCCTTTGTTAATTTAATAAGGCACAGCAGCAGTCTCGCCAATTGTGTTGTACAGTAAGACTCTTAGAATCCAAATTAAATACATTCAGACTGTTATTATTTTCAGAACATTTAGGCAAAGTTTTGTAACTCAAGGCAGCTAAATTTTTGTGTTTCCAAGTCCATCGTATAAGCTCCATACCTTATGCAGAGGTAATCATCACCAGTCTGAAGAAAGGCAGGGTAGGAAAAAAACCTATTACAGACCTGTATGCATCTACCTCAATCTAATGAAAACTCTGAGAATGGACCATGAACCCAGGTCATCATTTATTTGAAGAACAAAGACTTTCACTCCGTTAATAAGCTGAAACTTTGCTGAAACTTTAAGGAACAGGAAATAGTTTAATTCAACAGCTTGAGGTGAATAGGTAGCCTGGGACTAGGTACAGAAGAATACATTAAAAAAAATTTCTTCTGATGTATAAACCATTGATATTTTGAGGCTTACAACCATTTCTACAAATTCTATGCTTGCTGTTGAAAGATCAGCACTGCCTTACTTTTAATTCAGGCATAAGTCAATAGTGCAAAATACATTACATTAATTTACTCTTTTAGTAACATTTTCCACAATCAACCAGCTGTCCAAGCACAGCGGCACATCTGAAAGTTAACAGTCAGTCACTATTGTGAAATTCTTTGTAAAAACTGGCTCTGTGAACAAGCTGAATAGCAAAACACTGTACGTGTAATGGCAATTATCCACTTGGAACAAGAAATATGTCCTGCAGGGCGTATGAATCACTTTATGAAAATAAGCATCCCAGATATCAAGATCTCCATGAGCTCTGTGCTTTTTCCTCCCTCTCTCATCAAGATTTTATCTGAAGATGTGATTTTCACCAGCAAATAGGGCAGCTGGAGCACTTTTTGATGAAGAGCACTTAGCTGCTTCAGCCCTGGACAAGTTGAGATCAGAGAAACATCAAACTGACCTCCCTAATAAAAATAGTTTTCAGTATTAAATGTCTATTTCTGAGTTCTCTACAAAGAAGGTTTGCCAATACGTGTGCCTGTCTCTCACCAGACAGGACAAGCATCCAGTCCTTAAAGGCACACAAAAGACAGCTCTGCACATCTGAATATAAATTCCCAGGTTTTGAGACTAAACTCTGTTGAGAATATCTTAAGGGAAAACAAAAACAGTTCCTTCACAAAAGCTCAAAGGAAACCTAACATTAACTAACAAGAATATAGCTGAGGTTAAGTAACTAATTAGCAGCTATTACTATCTACCTATGAAACAGGCCTCCCAGGATTTTAGGAGGCTGACAGTGCAAGTTCCCACTCATCAACTACAATATGAACTTACAGGTAATATAAAGAGACTTAGGGGACAGTTTTGTGATCACAAGATATTCCACAGGTTAGGCAATTATCTGTACACTTGTTCCTGTATCGCCGGAAGGCAAGCCAACATCTTTTTGAAGTATGTGAAGAAATACTAGCCGGGCTGAACATGCTGGGCTGCAAAAAGGAGTGCTTTTCTTAACCAGGTAGATTCCCTGATACAGAATCACAAACACCTTGGCTACCACAACTGAAGGGCTGTTGCACACTCAGAGGAGAATCAAGCTGCTAGATTTGGGGACAGAGAGTTCAGAATTTCTTGTCCAGACTCTCAGTAAACTCTGTTGTCAGAGTAAACCCTGCCTAACACCACAACTTACTACTGTACAAAATTTACTCTAATTCTCAAAAAGACAAGCTAGCCTGCTGCAATGGGCTCTGCAGTGCTACAGGTACAATGCTTCTACTAACTGAACCATTAAGTAGTCCTCTTCTAACCTTTATCTGTTGCTCCACAGTCATTAGATTTGATGCAACTGAAAGGCAGGAATAAGCACAGGCGTATCCAAAATCACATACTAAACATAAGGTGTGATGTTTTGCTTCTAAAATGAAGTATTTCACACAAAAGCCAGCTAAGAATGCAGTTCAAAACCAGCTCAAGCTAATCTCAGCTGATGCTGAGGCAATTTTGCCTCCTTCACTACCCTCCTCCCGTATTAATTCTGGTACTGACGTTTTTCTATCCCTTGCTGAGCTGATTCAGAGTATCATCTTAGAAGTATGTATTACTTCTGCTAGACTAGTTTTCTGCTCTGCTTAGTGTCCTGAACTGGCTTTTAATAGGTCATACGAAAGACAGTGGCAGCAAAAGTGTGGCAGGTAGAATCATACCTGAGCTCACTTAGAATGGGTTACATATGATCATTTTGTATCAGCAATAGCATGGCCAGGAGGACTGGGGCAGGGATCGTGAGGCCGCACCTCGAGTGCTGTGTCCAGTTCTGGGCCCCTCACCACAAGAAAGCCCTTGAGGGGCTGGAGCAAGTCCAGAGAAGGGCAACGAAGGTGGGGAAGGGTCTGGAGCACAAGTCTGATGGGGAGCGGCTGAGGGAGCTGGGGGGGTTTGGTCTGGAGAAGAGGAGGCTGAGGGGAGACCTGATGGCTCTCTACAATGACCTGAAAGGAGGGGGTAGCCAGGTGGGGGTCGGTCTCTTCTCCCAAGTAACGAGTGACAGGACAAGAGGAAACAGCCTCAAGTTGCACCAGGGGAGGTTTAGATTGGATATTAGGAAAAATTTCTCCACAGAAAGGGGTGTCAAGCACTGGAACAGGCTGCCCAGGGAAGTGGTGGAGTCACCACCCCTGGAGGTATTTGAAAGAGGTGTAGATGTGGTGCTTGGGGACATGGTTTAGTGGTGGGCTTGGCTGTGCTAGGTTTATGGTTGGACTCGATGATCTTAAAGGTCTTTTCCAATCTAAATGATTCTGTGATTCTGTTCTATGAAACTACAGTCTTAATGTGCACAGATAAGTGTACCTCACAAGGGAACAACTAATCAACACTGGGACAGGACTTCTCCAGTGTAAGACTGATTACTTCTCGAACTAGTAGTGCTAGGGATTGAAGAAAGTTGTTAAATGATGCAAAATATAAATGAGAAAAGTTTCTAAAATGTTTCTGAAAGCAGTATCACAATACTATTTCTCTCAAAGACTGCAATACTAAATATCATTAACTACAAATTTTTTTTAATCCTGTCTCAGAGGATGTTATCAAAATTTCTCTATCATCTAAAAATTTATTATATGAAGGCTTTCTACAGCTACATATTTCACTGCAGGTTTTATTCTTTAGCTTTTCCACCAACAGAAATAATTTTAGAGTGACTTTGCTCAAGCTCTATATTGCAGACACAGTCTTTCATTGAGTTGTGTCACATACACACAGAATTCAAGACTTGTGGAAAAAGCCTTACCACCTAGATTCTAAAAATCCACTAATTTTTACTTATTTATTTACTTTTAAAACCCCTATTATTCTCAGAGACGTAAACAAGAACTCCTTCTTATCAAGAGATTAGTATCGTATTCAACTATGACTCTAAGCTAATTCCTACTAGTAGGTGAATTAAGATTTCTCATATGTTTGAGCGGAAAGTGAGAAAACATCTTTCTTTAGAATGCTTAAAAAGAAAGAAAAAAATTTAATACAGACATGTTCCAGATTGTTCCAGGATAAAAGTCAGATGAAACAGAACCTCTATTATTCAGTCACGAATTTTCAAATTAATATTGTAGTTAGCTAAGTTTTGTTGCGAAATTTGTTCCCCTTGATTGCAAGAAAATGACATCAAGGAGGAAAAAAGAACATAGAGTGAAATATTACTCTCTCTATCTTTTTTTACAAATAATGGCAGTAAGATACAAGCCAGTCATTAAAAACTTACCTGAGGAACGAAGTAGTCATAGCTATTCTGATTTGTCTCTACAAAACTGCCAAGTTAACTACTAACATACACAAGATTCATTTGAATGTATGATCCACACAGTTATTTATGACATCATGTTGCAAAATGCAACTATTGTTGTTTTCCCTTTCCAATTTCATGTTCAAGTACAACTGCAAAATATTTTTTTTTCCCTTATGATGCACTGACTTGCAACTATCACTGCAACACCAAATAAAACATACCTCCCCCAGCTCAATTTGATAACATTTCAACAGGTGTCTACCTCAGAATCTTTGAGTCTCACATAATTAGATGGGAAAACTCCTGATTTATCACCCAGTGTTCCTGTCCACCAGTCGCCATCTTTCTTGGTCACAAGAATCATATCACCTTGTTGAAAAGTTAGGTCTCCTTGTTCAGAACTCTCATAAGTATACATAGCAATATACTCTGTAAGAGGGAAATAAATTCAGAACATGGGAAAAGACTTGATAAACTGCTCAATTATCATTAGCAAAACCTAACTAATACAATGCAGTCTGTCCATGAACTAGATAGAAGACAAATTTATTAATTACTATTCACAGAAACCTCAATATTTAATGCATAAAATGACATCTACCAAAACTAAATACCATCTATCAAAAGGCTGCTTCTGGGGGATATTTTTGTAAAATAATTTGCTAGTATAATTAAAATGTACATAAATTATTAATATATATCAGAAACGACTCAGAAAACATGTTGCCCAATGGTTTGTTTTGTGCTGATGACTAGAATTTTCAGTCTTGGGATGGACAGTCTCGGTATCCAAATATCTGTAGATACAGTCTTCATTTTACATGTGCTGTTTGGCTCTCGTGTACAATGAATTCTTTCATTACTTGAAGCTTTGCATGAAGGTCGCACATGTCATTGCATCTTATGCAACAGATGGCTGGGAAACGTTAAGACAAAGCCTGAATGTGTTCTGTTTTGTTAAAACACAGTCAACTACTTAGTATTCAAGTGCAAAAACCTAAAGCAGACTGATGTTGAGAAATGCGATGCGTAATTCAATCACAGAACTACAGGAAAATTTTTTACATAAATGATTACAAAGAAGAATTTCAGACAATTCAGTAACATTTTCCATACAGCTTGATACATTCTTATCTAAATGAGCATTATCACACTTTATATGGGCACAGAACAGATTTCTGAAGATTATATTCTCTGCTTCTAGGACCAGCTCTGGACCTAAGAGCAGTATCACAATATTTCAGGAAGACTTTCATGCATGTGTAACAAAAACGTTCAAATATTCCACTGCAGCTGGCAATTGTTCTATTTGCTTGAACACTAAATCTGACCAAAAAGCTTAGCTCAGGGAAGTTCAGCAAGAATTCAAACCACAATTACTACCCTTAATGAAAGCAAAGTCATGGTTTGTCTAACAACTGCAACTGAAGAACACACACTTCTGTTTGTATGCACATACAAACACATACATTAAATATCATAATGTATGCTATACACATGGAATTTTTCTTAAATCCTTTAAATGTAATAGAAGATGCTAAACCCATGCTTTGTTATTTCTTAACAATACAGCTTTTTTTTGAAATGTTTTATTAAAAAGTTGTGTTCCTTTTTAACACAATCCTCTAACCTGAGATATCCCATACTTCACAAAAAAAAGACTTCTACATTTCTACAATTGCTTTTCCTCAAACATATAGTGAGCAAGACTAACTGCATTTCAAAATGACCAATTATCTCACTTTCCTTGTTATACAGATCCCTCCTTTTAATTTCTGTAGTGCTCATGCCAGCAGCAAATTACATTGGTAAAGAGACTCATTCACTTAAAATTGTATGTAGAATTGTAGTTAAAAAACTTAAGGTGTGCTGTAGAGATTATATACAAATCTTAATTTGTAACCTATATTTAGATTCATTGATTGACTGTGATTTAAATTAACCTAGCTGACGCTGCACTGAAGTGGATTAAGAGTGCCCACGCAGTCTGTTAACACAGCTCTTGTGGAGACATTAACCTCCAGCTGAAGGGTGATGACAGCCAGGAATGCAAGTTTTTTAAAAATCCTTCAGAGGCCTGACAATTATCTGTCTGTGCCCCAGGCTCCATCTTTAAAAATGAGGGGTAGCCTTCATCATAAGGATCGTAACATTCCATAACTGATTGTATAATTAAGAGCTTTAATGAAACATTGGAAATGACCTTTTGGGTGAAATTGAGACATTTATTAATAATTCCTGACATCACAAAGTACATGTACAGATGTGCTTATTTGGCCCTCTGCAAAAATGCATTCCAGATTGGGAATTGTTACCAAAATATTTATACAAGACACAGTACAAACTACAGAACATACTTTAATGGCATGTGAAATTATTTCTCCTATATACACAACATATATAAATTCTTACTATAATAATTTTAAACCATTCTAGAGGCACATTGATTTGCACTTCAATTTTAACAGGCCCAATTTTAAAACACTAAGATCTGAGTCTAAGCTTGCTTCTGGTAATAAGCAGATTTATTCTATTTAATTACATAGTAAAATACTATTAACACCATTCAGTTTGAAACGCTTACCTTCACCTGACATGGTTGCTTTTGTTGCTGGTGATGCTACTCTTTTCAGACTAGCAGGACTTTCTGAGGAACCAGAATCCATGCTTTATAAGAAAATAATGGTTATTTAAGAAATTAAATCTCTTCAGAAAAAATATTATTATATTAAAAAACTAAAAAATGCATAGGCATCCATAAGCAATTCCCTACATTTTAAGAGACAGCAGATATGCAAATTAAAGTTTTTAAGTACAATGGCCAGTCATGGTTACATTTAGGCAACTGCTTAAAATACACAAGTTTCTGCAGTGCCTCTTGTCCCTCAGAAAAAAAATTAATATCTAAAATAATTCTCATTTGTATTACTAATGTTAATATTGCCTTCAAGTTTCACAGAACCAGATTTTGATTGCTTCATCCTCCAAGAGTAATGATAAGTGATTAAGTTTGGAGGTATACCTTTTTATTTTGGGGAAAGATAAGCTATGACTTACATAGCTGTAATTCATAAAATCCAATACACTAATTTTTTAGTTGCAAGTCACATAAATTTAATACCATTCACTAAGCTTTGGCTCTTTTGTTGGTGATGCATGACCCAAGAAGAACTGAGGTCAGTTGTCTTATTCCTCACACAAATTTCCAGGGCTGGAAGTCAAAAACCCGCCAGAGGAGAGTCATATAAAAAAGTATTTTTACAGAGTAGATTCTAAACTTTAAAATTCAAGTGTGCAACTCTTCATATTTATTTAACTATTACAGTACAGAAGTAAAGTACAGTAAAAGCACATAAAATACCTTGTTGACTTCCTAATGGGGCCTGAAATAAGCTTCACATACGATTTAGGAAACCACCCCTTTTGTCCTTGAACCTCTCCAAACCACCACATATCTTGCTGCTCCAAAACTGTGATGATATCATTTTTGTTGAAATTAAGGTGGTTGTCTTTTTTCGCTCTCCAAGGATACAAAGCCTGTGCTTGAAGCCCCTCCACTTTTTCACCCTAAAAGAGAGAAGTCAGTCATGCACCACCTTTCATAAAGACAGCTGCTTAAGGAATTATATTCTTATACTACTTATACAGCAACAAAATACACAGACTCTTCCTCAACTGTATAAAACAAACTAAGTCAATTAAACTTACAAAGCAACACCAGAAACGTTTACAGTCCTCCTACATTTCTGTTATAATCAATACAATGCAAGATTATCAGAGGCTTTGTTTAACAATTTAAATAAAGATTTACAATTAAGATATATATGTAATAAACCTTCATTAAGCTATTTTGGCAGTAAACTTTCTGGAAAACGATGCTTTGCTGCAAGTTATTCATTGTACATTCCAACTTCTTTTTTTTTCTCAAAGATATTAAAATATTCAGCATTTTTCAGAACACATTAGCTTACAAGAACAGTATGTTGTTCAGCTGAGGAAAAGGAAATGTCTTAACAGATGGACGGAATTCATCTGATGTGAAGCTTTGCCACTGCTATTCCAACTTAACTACATAATCCACTTTGGAGTGAAGGTTCTCGGCATGTGATTCAGGAAAGCCTCAAGGAAGTGACCCAAAACTAGCACTCCCTCAAAACACTGACTGGACCACCAAAGTCTAAAAAAGCCAGCACAGAATAGCAGAATAAAAACCACTTCATGTTAAATTCTGCCATGGATGTCGCAAATGGATGTACACTAGCTGTTCAGCACTGCAAACTGAAATAGCTTACCTATCTCAGGGGATTGTTTTAATGCATGTTCAATATTCATACTTTGCTTTCCAAACGTTTGCGCTGGGTCAGAACAGTTGTAATGAATACAGTTGCTCACCTGACCCAAGACAGGAGAGGGAGATGATCCTGTAACAGTGGCAGGAGTGAAGGCTGATCGCTGCCGCATCTGCCCTGCACTGGGAACAGTCAAAGATGGCTGAGGTGCCCAGGCATCCCAGTTATCAGTCTCTGGTTTCTCACTAGTGTTTGTTGGCCATCTGAAGAAAAAAAGAGAATGACGTTAATTCCTACTGTTTTCAACTGAATAAAAACACTCATGCAGGAAGATTGCGCAGAAAAAAAAAGTTCTACATTCTAGATTGATTCCTTTTAATTGACTATTCCATGAGCATCATAACTCTCAGGTGGAAGTAGTGCAATCAAACATGGGCTAACAATAAATTTATCTAAAAAGGGCAATCTCTAAACACAGTTGCTTGTCCTCACTGTTTAAGGCCAGTTGTTCCTGTAACCTAGTTTCATTTCTTAGCTGTGCAACGGCTAAGTTCAACTAGTACAGTCTGTATTATACACAGTGAAAAGAGGTAACTTAAAAGAAAAAAAATCATCACTCTTCAAAATTTGTTTGAAATCTTCATGCCTGCATGTCACTTACCCCTCACATCCCTTTCCCTTACACAACATTTTGCTGCTTCTCATTCAAATGCTTACCTTTTTTCTTTTGCTTCAGATTATTTCCTACTGACTTCTTTCAACTCTAAAGAGTTTTATGCAGTCTCTTACCCTTTTTATGTTATCCCTTGTCCTTTAAAATGCCTACTAAATCTCATAATCCACATCTCTGCCTTCAAATACCTACTCAAATGAACAAAATCCCCTGAACTCTAGGAGTGTAAACAAAGCACCTATCTTAAACCTAAGTTTCCTTTCCCTGTTGCTTGTGCTATCAGTTGGAGTAATCAATAGTTGTCCACCTAGAATGTAACAGTGTCCAAGCTCTCGGACTCACTTTGTATTGAAACCGAGTATTAATTTTTTATGAAAAGCATGAAAGCATGCATTATCCACATAGAGTAGAAACAGCTTTGTCAAAAGTATGATTTATTCAAAACAATAAAATTCAGTATGTGCCACACATCTCCAGGAAGCTCAAGATCTAGTCTTATTCTCCCCCCTCAGAAAATTGACTGTTTGTTAAAACAGAAAAAGTTTAAGTAACTGGAAAAGCTACTGTGACCTATTTGATACAAATTTTGAAACAGAACATATTGTGTACTGTAATACTGCAGTAAGATATTTAGATTTTAATTTATAGATATCTGTTACATGATCAAAAGATAAGACAATTACTTACTCATTTACCTAGGGTTGATAATACTGCACAGAGCATTAAGTTGAGATAAGACATCTACTTGCATCACTCTTACTAATGTTGTAATGAGGAATTAATAAATCACCTTTTCATGTTAACTCTGTCATTACTGTATTTTGCATAATCCAAGTTGGAAACCTTCAATGAGGATTGATGTCAACTAATTTAAGAAAAGGAAGGTCAACACCTTGGGATTTCTACCACATCACCATCCTTACTTAGGAATGTCTCCTATTTGTGATGTGTCCTTCTGCCTTGCTCAGGCAGATATGATGGGAGCATGACTAAAGTTCCACCAGGCTGTGATTTTAACTATTTACTATGGAAAAAATATTTTACTTCAAACAAGCTATTTTTATTTTGCAATCTTGATATTCTGTGTTAACTGCCACCACAGTCAAATCAATTAAAAAGGACTTCACCACATCTGAGGTGATAATCACTACCCAAACATACGTTGAACTGAAGTCTGCCCAGTTATTGGCAGTTGTAGTACACTCTGTAGAAGCAGGAGTTCCTAGCGATGTAGTGGTTTCATGCACAGAAACTTTAGGTGCAGCAGCCGCTTCAACTGCTGGCTTTACAGAAGCTGGAACTTCATTTTCAGGTATTTTCTCCGCATAGTTTGCAGGAAACCATCCAGTTTTCCCCTTCAATTCTCCACCAAGCCACCCTGGCTCTCCAGTCTGGCTTTCATCCACCTGTAGAGGCAGTAAGTTAAGAAACATTACATACAAATGGAATTTGTACTTAAAACAATCCATCTCATCTACAGTAATTAACTTTCTCTAGTTACAGAGACATGACACCTTCATGACAAATACAAGTTCCACCTAGGTAGAATTTTGGTTTTGTTATTAATTTACCTTTGGAGGAGCAAGGAGTTGGACTTGATAAACCTTACGGGTCCCTTCCAACTCAAGATATTCTATGATTCTATGACTATGTTGACAGCTATTCCTTCTATGACATATTAATAGATCAGAGAACATTTTGCAATGCAATACTGTTTTGCAATTCTTTTTTTTTTTCTTTTTTTCTCCCAAGCCAAAATCAAAAGGATTTCTTGGTGATGAGGTAAAAAATGTTTTCGTTCAGTCCTAATGCATAAGCCAAGCATATGTTTTTAAACAGTTGCTTGAAAGTGTGTCATAGTTCAGAAGACGTGGGAGAGGTGAGTTCTAGAGAAATCCCTTAAACATTGATATTTCTGATTTAGCTAACACAAAATGCAGTTTTTAAGAAGTTTTCCTAGATTCTCTCTTGCAGAAAATACAACAAAAACCCACAGCATGTTACAAACAACACTCAACCAACAATCCAAAACAAATCCACAGATTTGCTAATGTATTTATACAGAACAATTCCATGGTAAGTTTTCACACAAATTCACAGGCCTCCTTCTCCTCACTCTGCTATCTCTGCCAAGCCATAAAGGACAGGATGAAACAGTTATTTTTGCAGCTATATTTTAATTCCTACTTATCGATTATTATAATTGTATTAAGCTACGAATTTGCAAATTTCACACTTTCCTGTTAATCTTTCTTAAACATTTCACACATTTGTTCTCCCAGCTCTACTGACAGACTACTGTCTTAGTCTGCTATTCCAACAAAAGTGATCAGTTTAAATTCTGTGAGCTGCAGCTAACCGCATTCACCGAGAATCATAGAAGAAAAGTAATTTACTATTGCTACCCCTGGTGAATTGATATGGTGACTAAACACCTCCAAGGCAAAGACAGTTGCAGAAACTTTTTAGAAGAAAAAAGGCAATAATTGTATTTGGTAATAATTTTGGTAAATTTGGTGTTCTAGCTATCTAATCTCTTTGATAGGTCAAAAGAATCTCAGTTTTCAAGCAAACCCTTACATATGAATAGGGTTTGCACCTTTGACACGTAAATAACACCTACTTTGTACAACAATCTGCTGTCCATAGCTCCAGATTCCCCAGCTACGGTCAAGTCAGCAGTAAAACCAGGCCAGTAATGAAAAGTCAGATGACCAACCCTACACAGTGGCTGTTTTCTTGGCAAGAATTTCTCTCATCTGTTTAGGCCAGTAGCAATCAGTATTTCAAAATACGTAAGAGCTTCAAACAACAGTCTAAACTCAAGAGTTGACTGTGGCAGATAACAGCACAGCAGCCAGAGATGCTTAAATTTGTACTTCTAAATCACCTGACACTATTTCTTAAAAATCTGTTATCAATGTGAGGCATTTGTTGATAAAAGAATGCTTCATGAGCTAAGGAATAAGAAATAGTATCCTCTTCAGTCAAAAGAGTTTTCGTTATATGAAAATAGCATATAGTAGTGTTCAAGCTAGATGCTTCTACTGTTGGAAACACACCTATGAATTCACTCTATTGATTTTTAACAAAATATAATCCGATCAGCTGCTTGTTTGAAAAAAAAATAATCAGTGACCAAAAAAAATTATTTCTGGCAATGGTGCAAACTGGTCGCTCTAGACTAAAGGTTGGACCCATTCTTTTGCCGAGAAGTGACAGAAATGGACCACTCATTTGAGCTGCTGATAGACTGCTTTGCCTTAAGCCAGCTGTGGATTCTTTGACTGTCTCCTATTGTAATTTGTATCCCGCACCCCTCTTTTGGTGCCAAAAAATCAATTCTTTCTGCTTTTTGTTGGGTCCATCTTCTGTCTTGGTCCCTATTAACTCAAAGCAAACCCAGAAAGAACAGTACTACATGCTTGACGGGTTCAACGTGGTTTTACTGGAGTGCAGAGCAAAACTTCCACTGCAGCACTGAAGAGGACTGTTAAGGCAGCAGTATGAGTGATGGAAGGTCACAGCAGAGGGTGACTCTTGGGAGAGAGAGGGAGAAACGGATTATCAGCACCTGATGCCACGTTGAAGAATCTCAACGGTAAGAATAGTCATATAGTTTCTACTCTCATTTATGTAGTAACTAGAATCACTAACAGACAAAAGAATCAGGACTGAAAAGCCAAAGATCTGATACGGTGATGTTGTAAAAAAGGTCATCTTTGAAATCAATCACAGTCATACAGAAACCACTCTGATTTTTCAGAAAGAAATGTTCTGTACAAGCAAAGGAAAAAAAAACTACCAAAGGGTTTTAAAAACAACTGATTTAAAGTCTCTTTATAAGATAGTTTTAAGTTAAAATAATTTATAAAACAGCCTATTAGGATAGTCAAATTTATGCTTATTTAATCCAATTAATTTTTCTATGAATACTCACAAAAAGGCACTTTGAAGGATAATTTTAATTCTATAATTGATTAAAAACATCTGGTTTCTCAGTTATTCATATAAAATATAATTTGCATCTGGTTTTGTAGTACAGTACTGGAACTTTTTATAAAGATTCAAGGAATCTAATACATTTGTTCTACTTTTCTTATATTTTTACAGCCACCATCCCCAAGTCCCTTCAACAAACTATCCCAGATTATTTTTTTCCACGATACAACCAGACTTTAAATGTACACCTGAATAGTGAATTATAGTGTGTGCAGTTTTAGTTTTTATTTATTCAATCGTACCTTAGAGCCATGGCTTACACCTACTTAGTTCCAGCAACCGAACACAAGTGACAGGAGTAACAGCAACATTTAATAGCAAAAGCAACAGGTCCAGTTAGTATCTCTCTCAACTGAAGGGCTGGCTTTGCAGGGCTGTACTCCGCTTTGATCTGGCTTATGTATCACCAGCAGTGCACAGAAAAAGATAAACCCTGTTTTACAGTAGATATTCACTCTACCTACAAAGCCAAACCCTAATACTCTCACAAGAAGTATTTAATCAAAGCTAAACAAAGTATCATTGTCTGTTTTGTTCAACCATCTACCCATGAAATGACTATTTTAATTCTATTCCACTTGTAGGCTTTTGATCTAGGTATTTTGAGACTACTGGAATTCCTGTTACAATGCTGAATATAAGCTCTGCTGGCCAGAGGCCATATGCTGATTACGCCTACACAGGATCTGACACAACAAGGCTGTCTATGCGTCAAATACAAAGAACATTCATTCTGACTCTCACAATCAAATAACTAACAAAATTGATGAGAAACTATCATTATGAATTTGTTTTAGACTTTCCATGGAAACTTCTTAATGAACTTTCTGTTTATGTTCTCCTGCTATCAGAGTCACTACAGTTCAGCAATTCAATAATTCACCTGTATTTCACTGAATTACGCTTAAATTTATTTAAATAAGCTGTACTATACAAAACATTATCAGCAACAACAGAATCCGTTCATTTCCTTCAAGCTGGAGCCTAACAGCAGCAAATGCCAGCTGGACTTGCTTTGTAAGAGAGCTATCCAAAGGAAAAGAATTCCATACATTGTATACATATATTCATACACACAACAGAAACTTCTCCAACAGACAGAGCCCTGAAAGAGGCATGGCTTTCTTGGCTCAGAATATTTGTTCCCAGATAAAAGCTTGGTTAAGTTATAGTTAGGATTATAAATCAATCCAGTTTACAGTGAAAGACATTTAAAGTACATAGAAAGCTAAGAAGCAGAGAAAGCAGAAATACAAGTTAAGAGAAAATAGAAAAATCCTGTAATTAAGAAGTGGAAGAATTAAAAAAAATACAGCCCACACCTCACGCATTCTCTAAACCATTACACAAGATACATCAGTGCTACAGATAACTAACGTGTACTGGAAAGTCAGGCAGAAGAAAACCCTTCTCAAATTTGCAAACAATACTTTTCTTTTCAGAATAAACCCTCATCTTTCTTCCTCTTTTCCACCAAGACAGGTCTCAAGATTCATGCACAGTGTAAAAGTGCATTACACTGTTGTAAAAACTATTTACAAGCTATACATCTATTAAAGCCACAAGTCATTCTGACATAACGAATTCTGCAGTCCTAGTTACATCCAGGATTCAGGCCTGGTTCCCATGTGCAGAGTCAATGGATTTGGGTTACAGTTGGATTCTTTGCTCATGGCAGTTACAGTTTGGGTAGTATCTTCTGTACAGCTATACGATGACAGGACATGATTGCACTAGCCTGCATGCATAAAGGCATTTCTGAAGTTTTAAAATGGCGAAGTACTAAATTTGCCTATGTTAGAACACAGTTATTCTAAGCAATACTGATTTTGTCGCACACAGTAAACTCCTGACTTTATAGGTCAGCTTAACTATAGAGTTGCATTTATGTCATAAATTAGACACACTTTAACATGTAAGCTTGTAAATTATTATTTTCCAGAAAACGTAACCAACTTGAACCTTTTAGAACCACAGGACATGACAAACACTTAAGGACAGAGAAGAGTCTAGGAGTCCAAATGCCCATTATCAAAAGTAAGTTCTGGTCCATTGCACTTACATTACTTTTGACAATGTGAGCTAGTTTGTTAATTTTAGCCTAGGTGAATTGAAAAACAAGTAAACTACATGGTAACAAAATCTGTATTTATGAAAATGATAAATTGCATAGACTTCCTAACAGTCACATAGCACACTTACCCATTCCCTTTTAACCTCCATCAGGAAAGCAATGATTTAAAGCAAGGCAGAATTATAACACATTTCACAAAAGTGTCTTACTTATATTAACTTTTCTAAGAGTAGCCCATTTAAGCAATTACTACAGAGCAGGAGATAAATCCCACAAGAATCAGTC